ATGTATTAAAGTGTGTTTTTTATCCATAAAAACCTTTTATAATAAGACTTTTATGCAATTTTTGTTGTTGTTATTGTTTTTACGGAATTTCAAGTTTTAAGTCAAAATCAAATTAAATACAAATCTAAATGTTTTTATGTATACAAAACATATGCTGACATTGATTTCGAATTATATAATTTTATCAGTCTCTCTCTCTCTCTCTCTCTCTCTCGTCAGTTAATCTACAATTATAATGAATCCGTCGGTTCTCTACAGTATATGTCAGTATCTCTCTCTCTCTCTCTCTCTCTCTCTCTCTCTCTCCCCTAAAGTAAGTTTAAGTTAATAACAAAACAAAAAATATTTTTGATATTAAAAAACGACTCATTAAATAGATTTATGGATTTAAGAACAAAATACATACAGAAATGCATTTAAATTATGAAAAAACAAAATATATTTCTAATTCATGTATAGACGGACTGATATGCACTGTATGTGAAGTTCAAGACTTTTAACATATTTGTTTTATTTGTTTCTTTGATAACCAAAGCCACGAAATGCCAATTAATGGCAATATTCAGGCATTAATAATACATGTGTTCATAACTGTTGAACTCTTTCTTAAGCTATTATTATAATTATTTTAGTTAACCATTGATTTCACGACCATTTCTTTGCTTTGTATCAAATTTTTACAAAATTTTAGACATTTATCTTAAATTCATATATAGTTTTGAATAACAAGTAACTAATATTTCTAAAACTTGAAAACAATTATTTTGCTATATTTGCTTCAAAGCCACAATCATTGCAATTCTCAACCATAAAAATAACGTGATTTTATAATTAAATGTTAAATGTGTTTGTATTTCAAAAATTTAATGATACTAAAATATTAAAATCTAAAATATAAATATTAAAATCAATTAATCAAATTGATTAGCATTTATCACATTTGCTATTAATTTATTTCCAAAACTAGTAGTAATGAGAAATGTATGACTTGTTTAATTAAGTTGGGATTTGAATCAGAATTAGAATTAAAAATCAATTAATGTTTAGTAAAAATTGCGGTAATTTTAGATAAAACTATAATCCAATTGAGATAAGAAGTTAGACCTTCTTTAACCATATTTATAAAGATTTAATATTAAATGTCGCTATCAATAGACCAATTAATTCTCTCTCTCTCTCTCTCTCTCTCTCTCTCTCTCTCTCGTCAGTTAATCTACAATTATAATGAATCCGTCGGTTCTCTACAGTATATGTCAGTAACTAATAGTGAGATGAATCTAAAGAAAATGAAAAAACTAAACTTCACTTTAAATCTCTTTGTAGTAATTTTAATGTAATTCTCTCTCTCTCTCTCTTTCTCTCTAAGTTTTTTACCAAAACTTGAAATTTATTGCTTCGGTTTATATCATAAAATAATTATCACATAAATTGCAAATTTGATTGAAAACTCCAATAACTAAAAGCTTTTGCCTTCAAAATTCATTACCGGTTTAGAAGTGATTGAATTGATTAGAAAACACATCAAATAAAAGTCTTTTTAATGATAATCGCAATGAATTGGAAATAAAAAATTTAAACAAAAATTACAAAACAGGACAACAAAAGCAAACATAAAAACAAATTGTGGGAAAAAATGTGAATCATTTAAGTTTGTAATATCTTAGAAAGAATATGTTGATAATGATGGCCGACGACACTATCATCACTTTGTCTTCGGTGGTCATCATCTGCGGAACAGCTACGCGGACGAAGTGGTCTTCTCTGAACACACTATTCAACTGAATTTTGTCAAAACGTTTGCCAATAGTTCCGATCACTTGGTTTTGATTATCGCGAACTTCAAACTCATAGCCCACGGCATCGGACGCTCTCTTGATCACGAATCGGGTGTTATTAGTGATCGGTTCGCTTAACACAAACTCCACGTCACGGCTGAACCAGAAGAATGTCTGTCGCAGATGGCCCAACACATGTCCGGCCGGACACTCGACGTCGGCCGAGTAGACACCGCAACAGCAGCTCCAGAGCGTCTTCTTCTTGATGGAGATGACGTGACGCGAGTATTGGTCTATGAATCTCAAAGTGAACGGCCAGTAACGGGACGTCTGGCGATTGTTTTTGGGGCCCACGTAGAAGAGCTGCTGATAGTCGGCGTTTCTGATAGTGAAACAGTTGTTCGTATACTTCGTGTCCTCAAACAGATTGTCAATAATGTGGATGTCGTCGAAGATGTAAAACTTGCGCAACTTCTCCACGCACTCGAGTCCAGGCTTCGCACGACTCTTCTTGTCCTTCGGGCGACTCATCCATTCCGGGACGCTATCCCTCACGTGATCCACTCGTATGACTTGAGTGGTGTCGTTGTCGTCGGGCGCCCGGATTGAGGTCAACGCGCGTTCGGTCTTCTCCTTCACGTCGACGTCCGCTGGCTTTTCGGCAGACTTCTGGCCGGACTTCTGGCCGGCGATCGTTACCCTCTCAGCCGACGGCCTCACCTTCAGATGTCCTCTCAAGCGATCGATGCTTAGCATCGGTTCATACTTTCTCTTTGGACTGTAGTGTAAAGCCCTACCGCCCGGCACTTCGATCAGGCCTTTCATATCATTTTCCACAACCTTACTGTCAGTTAGACCCACGGATTCAATGCTTGGTTGTCTCAACTTATGGGTCTCTTTCTGTTTCGGCATATCTTCGGACAGATTCACAAGAAGTCAGTTATGTTTTTATAAATCAAATGATCAGTAAATTTATTGCTGTTATTAACTGTTTAGCAATTGTTATAATTTAATTCAAATTGATTTCGCGAGCATTCAATGGTATTGAAAATTTTAAAAACTAATTATAATAACCGTTAAAAGCAATCAATTAATTAGACATTTACTGTGAGAACAAATTTTGATCATCACTGAATCGGTTCCAACGATGGGTCAGCTAAAGGTTCCGAAGCCGAAGGCAATTATCATGGATATGATGGGAACGATGGTTAAGAGCGCGTTCATCGACAAAGTGCTGATGCCTTACATCGAGGCTAATGTAAAACAGTATATCGAAGAGAAATGGGAAGACAAGGATGTGAAGAAAGACGTCGAGGCCTTACGCAAAGAGTCAAACAGCAGTGAATTGAAGATCGTTGGGTCGGACGCCGAAGTGGCCCAACAGAAGCAGTCGGTCGTCGACTACATTATGGGCCAAATCGCGGCCAAAAAGGCGGGCAAAGCGTTGATGAAGTTTCGGTATCACATGTGGTTCGACGGCTTTACTAATGGCAAAATCCAGACTCCCATCTACTCGGATGTCGCCATTCAGGTCCGCAAGTGGAAGGACAGTGACATTAAGCTCTATGTCTTGAGCAACAGTTGGATTGAATTGACCAAAAAGTTTATGGGAAAGACATCGCACGGAGACCTAAGCCTTATGCTCGACGACTACTTCGACTCGACATCTATGGGTGCGCTCACCAGCAAAGACACGTACGTCAAGCTCTGTACCAAATTGAGTCAACCGCCGGATCAGGTGCTCTTCATGACCAAGTCTACAGAGGAGGCCCGAGCGGCCAAAGAGGCCGGTCTTCCCATATGTCTGGTCTTAACTCATCGCCGAAACATTGAAAAGTTGACCGAAGAAGAGAAGGCGATGCCTCGCATCCGATCCTTCAATGAACTGGAATTAGATTCGACCGCCGGTTGATGTGATCCCGGCTTTTGTTCTTATGTCAGTATTTATGTCAGTATTTCAATCAAATTGTTTGTAAATATTCACAAAAAAGTCTATTTTCTATTCACTTTCTGTCCATATTTTTGTGAATGAAATCAATTATCAAATAAAAAATATATTCAATTTTGAATCAAAACACATATTTTTGAATTTATACTAAATTTCAGATAATTATAAATGTGTAAAAAGTTTTGATATAAACCTTGTAATGAAAAATAAAGCAAAATAAATATTAATCCCAATTAATCATACGATAAATTTATTCTGACATTCAATTTATGGCACAAATAAAAATAAGTTTAAATATTTATATAACAAATAATTACTATATTTTGTGTTATTTTTTAATGAAATTCATTAAATCTATGTGAATAGTCGATACGAGTCGAGAGCCAAGAGATCAGTATATATTTTTGAAGGCATTTACACCACTATTAGGCAAACCTTTTATTGAAGAATTTGCTTTCAAAGGTGTGTCCAATACAAGCATTTTTATGTCTCAATTAACTTTTCTAATGGCAAATATCGTCTCTAATATTACATTAAGTCCAAAAATTAGGCTCTTATTAGTTGTGGTATATTTAATATATATAATATTTAGTTAATACCATGTATTAGAACACAATCTAATAGACAAAATCAATAACTAATTGACATATATTTTGTTTCATAAGATTTCATAAGAAATAAGTTTCGAAATTATTAAATGAATTATTGAATACACTTTTTAAGAGTAATCTGAAAACAAATTGATATAAGAGTTGTGCGAATGGTTTAAATCATTGAATATTTTGATAATTTGTTTGATTCAATAAATGTAAATGACATTCAAAAAGCAAACATTATTTACTCTCGAGTCAAATGTATGACAATTTATATACAGATATTTGTAGATAAGAGAGAGGTCTCAATGTCTCGGATCTAATTAGCGATTATAATCACAGAAATGGTAGCAATTGGTCACTCGAGGGACCAAATGCTGGGCTCATAAAAATACCGTAACTTATATTTGTCGTACGGTTTGGTTTATGTGTGCCTTTAATTCAATGCAAAATCATAATTATCATCAAAATTCCTCATTTCATGCAATTTTTAAAGTAAAAAACAAAAAATTAAATCAAAAATGTTTCAACCGGTAGTGAATTAAACATAAATACAGTAAATATTTATATATAAAGATATTTTTACGACTGAATTACAAGTAATGGGATATTAATTAAACATAAGTTAATAAATGAATAAAATTATCGTAAAAAAAGTTTGATTTCATGACAAAAATCCGGTCACAAAAAGTGATGTCAAAAATTGCACACATTTTGCAATCACTCAATAGATGTCCGCTTTGTTTGCATTGTTTGTATTGATTGTCAGTATATTTGTTATGCAATTCAGTATTGAATGCCGTATTTAAATGTCATCACATCTGAAGCCAACGCCAGACAAAAAGTGGCCAAAACTTAACACTCTTTCCGATTAACTCATATACAGACAAGCGGTGGCTTTGGATGAGATAAGTCGAAACTCACGAAGAATAAGATGGTGTCCACCAGTGATAGTAACCATAATCTGTTTTATTTGATCACTTTGTGGGGCTTTTTGAACGCTTTGATACCACTTATTATCAATTCGGTAATGCATTTGTCAAACACCTGTTTTTCACCTCATTTTACCCCATTGTCACCATTTGACTGATCCATTGTTTGTATTCTTCGCGTACAATATTGTGTGTCTTTGCACTGCACTCACAGATAGTGTCCGTATTCTTCAATGAGACCCAAATGGAGACGTGTTTGCGGCGACAGATGCGGGACCTGAAGACCGAGTTGTCCGACATCTCGATGTCCGACGAGTTCGCCAAATACGCCAAAATTCAACGCAAACTCAACAAAGCCAAGGATCAGCTCAAAAGTGAATGTATGGCCCAAAACCACTTCTCTGTGTTTGTATATGTTTTTCAAACCATTGTTTCCCCGTATGTATGGCCGCAGCGGACGCCCAAACGCTATACCGAATCAAAGCCCGCTTTATATTATACGGCATTTTTTACATCACATCCGTATGTCTTTGTCTTAACCATTATATGTGTGTTGAATAATGAATAATCTACACAATTATCAGGCATTAGTGACGGTGTGGTTGATGTGGAACTATCGATACGAAGTGCTGTTCCGATTGCCGGACAATCTCTTCTGGCCGTTCGGCTTCATTCTGGCCTTTCCTACCGGTGTTTCCGGTATTATATAATTGCCATCAGTTTTGTTATAGTATTGATTGTAACGATTGTATGATAGGTGCGATCGGAATCACTCCCTGGACTATCATCACTACTTTCGTTGGCCGACAATTAGTTAAATTGGTTTCATTGTAACCATTTTTAGACACTTTTGATACGCTTTTTGTGATCTTTTTTGTTTCGTTAATAATTTTTTTATCGACTTTTAAATTTTAAATATAATTAAATCATTTTAAATGGAGTTTTGTATTCAAGAATTGATACACAAATCCAGTTGTGATAAATGCGATGATTGGTTGAGTGTCTGCAACACAATTGTTAATCACTTTAATTCAACTACAATATAATAGTGAAAATTTAATCAATATTACAGACTATAGAATATATAAAAATATAGTTAAAAACATAAACTATTTTATATGCGATGAATGTATAACACAATTAAGTTTAAAAGGTTTAGCGACTCATTCAATTAGTTTTGGGTTTCTTGTGTGCAAAGCGTTTGGCTTTCTTCTCCTCTTTCAATCGATTGATGTCTTCATTGGTTCGGTCGACAACTTTGTTGTGCAGACTCTTAAACAGCTGTTCGGCGGCCATAGAATTGCCCATAATTTCGGTCAACTCTTCGACACTCAATTCGATCAAATGGGCGATACATTTGACCGAATTCATGATGGAATACACGTTAATGATGTTAACGCCGGGCAAACACAGCAGAAACTCTTTGGTCTCGATGTCGTATTTGTCGATCACGTATTCGGTGGGCAACTGTTGATTGGTTTTGGCCAACACTGCCTTCTGGTCGGGCTCTTCCTTATCCTGTTTCAGGTATTCAAACACTTCGGCGCTGAAGTGCGGAGACGGAGACCAAAGCAATCGGAGTAATGGGAAATGAATGGTCAGAACAACTAATTGTGACAAAACGCTCGGCCGACTACAATGGGAAGAGCCACTGATGGCCGCGTGTTGTCCCCAATACTTGCCCTTAAAGTTAAACGACTTTTGATCGTCAAATTCAATGAGAAGAAGCGGTCGCTTATAGTAACGGCACATCACTTCTGTCTGTGTGTAGAGACGGCCAGAGTTTAGCGAACCGATCAAATCGCTCACAGATTTGCGTTCAACACATGTTTCGGGTGTCAGTATATAATCGCCGATCTCTATAGTGATGGGCTCTATATCTATACCGCGTTTGTGTATAAGTGTCGGCAAATCGGACCGAAACTCACGCATATCTATAATAATCCGTTTCGTTGGCATCTCTTGCGACGCTTGCGTCTGTCCGCCGCCTATCCGTGAATTGGATTCTAAGACAAAACAGTCGTCATTGCCGCGGATCAGGTCTGGATGTGTGTCACTCTTGCCATCCCTATCGGACGGTATGACGAGCGAGGCTTTAGTCTTAATGAGGGCCTCAAACGCCTCCTTTTCAATGTGTAAATTCTTGAGATATCGTTGCTCTTCGGCGGACCCGTCGTACAGAAAGAAGTATACTTTGACGGCTTCGGGCGATAAATACAACCCCTGATAGGACTCTATATGTCGGATGCTTTGCATATCGGGATCGTATAGTATCACGTATTTTGGCCGCAAAACAGTCAACATATTCATCAAATGGACGCCCTTTTGGTGCCAATCGTGATAATGGAGTTCTAGTTTGCGTTCAGCCGTAAAACTCTCCTCACATTTCTCGTATGACTTCAACATTTGTGTCAATGTTTGCACGTTTTCCTCCTTTTCTGGCGCTTTCTTCGGCTTATCTCTCGTTTTTGTCTCACTTTTACCATTCAATAGAAGTTCACATTTTTGGTGCAACTCTTGTAATACAGTGTCGACGCCTTTGTCGCGAAACTTCTCCAGACTTTCGGCGGTATTCATGTTCTCCACAATCACTATCACATCAACCGTTTGGCTGTCATTTTGAGTCTCATTCTTGATCTCTTGGATCACTTCATAAAAGGCATTCCACTTGGGATTCACCTCAATGTCTATGATCTGTTTGCCATTCTTTTGTGAGTAAAGTCTCTCTTTGGATACCGTGAAGAGGGTCTCCGACGGCTCCCAAAAGAGCCAATCGGAAGTGTCGGCGTTCAACACAACACTCTGTCGAATAGCTTTGATCTCGTGGTAAAACGTGACCGAATCGTATTGAGTCAAATTGAACAGCAATTGCTTCAAGAGTTTGATGTCCGATACCATACGTCTGGACTTCGCGCTCAACTGATACCAAATCGGATCGAACTGTCTTTTGACCATTGAATTAAAGTTCAATGAAATGACATTCATTGCGTTCAGCTCTTCGCAGTCATATAGGAAACTGGTGTTAGAGTTTGTCAACTCTTTGATACACATGGAGATCAAGTCCATCAGCGAGAACTGGATCTTCTTCATCAACGGTGTCATCGAGAGTCGTATTTCGATCACATTGGGAGCCGTGCGGGCGCCCAATGAGTCGGTGATCGCCGCGTGAAATCGCGGCCACAGATAGAGTTTTGTGGCGAAGAGGTATCGCATAGTTCTGTCCAATTTGCCGAACTGTCCGATGAATGCGTTACTCGTCTGCGAGAGTGCGGTCACGAAACCAGTCTTATTGTTCATGCGATACAGGCGTACGATAAACGCCTGAAGACAGTCCGTGACAATCGTGTGGGCGTTGTATACAATAAGACCGGAGATCAACTCAAAGGGCACTCTCCCGGCGGTCAACATATCGACCACAAGAATGCGGGCCGTAATGAAGATAACGCCACCACTCATGTAGACCTCGTGACGATCGGCAGCGGAACAGCTGTCGGCAGTCAAACGTCTGGGCGGTTGAGTGACAGCCATCGGGCTGTCGGGCGCCGACAGCGCTGTCATAATGTAGTCCTCGAGTTCAGCATTAGTGCCGATAACCAGAACCAGTTGTGTCCGCTCGGAGTAGGTCTGTGTCAAGTGAAGCAACAATCGGTCGACGGCTATGCCTTTGGATGCGATGGTCAGCGAGTTATCGTTCAACACATTCAATAGCATCTCTCTCTCAAACTCCAGAAGTTGCGGTCCCGAAGAAGTGGCGGCCATCGGGTCCGCTGCGGTCGACGGCGAACCCATAGATGTGTTGTGTCTTCAGCGCCAAAACGGACACACATTTAATAGTGAACTCAATTTAATGAATGCTTTGATTTTGTGATCACTTTTTTTGGTCAATGAAATGAAAACTTCAAAAACAAATCATTGTTTTTCCGCTCAGTATTGACACTGAAATCATGAGTAAATCGTAATCTTTGCCACAAATAATGTCCGGAAATGTGTAGTCATTATTGTATTGAAATGAATGCAAACTTAATCAATGATTGCTTGACGTAAACACTGTTTAGCGAACACATGACTGGAGTGTATGTGTAGTGCATGTGTTAAAGGCATTACATCAATGAATATTAGATAATACATGACTGGAGTGTAGTGTATATAACGTTAGGCTTATTGTTGTGTTGAATGTCAACAACAAATGAAACCATAGTTTGAATTAATTATTAACGCATTCATTGAACGCTCGCTTTGATTGCCCTCTCATTTGATTGTCATTTGATTTGATTGTTAAACTAATTGTCAGTATTTTGTGCACATTTGCAGCGATATAGCGATGCATTGATTCAATCAATTTGATCGGTTTGTTGTGTCTGTTTGCCTGTCTCTGTGTGTGCTGTTTGTGTGGATCCGTTCTCTTGAGCTCTCAATGGCAGACATGAGTCAAATTAGGAGATATAAAGATGACAAACAACACAAACAAAAGGATACATATGTGGTAAGCCATTGAATGTCGTTGTCTCGCGATGTGTGTCCTCCGGAACTAATCGATTATGTCTTTCGCAGAAAAAGATCAACAAAATGTTTAAAACCGATTTAATAGAGATCTGTATTCTGTTTAATGTGTCGAAGAATGGCACCAAAGATGTGCTTCGAGAGCGACTCATCCAATTGGTTGACTCCATATATAGTGTAGACGAAGAGCGCTGGTCTGCTCTCAAGTCTCAAATCAAACGCGTCTATAAAGCAAACGATAGGATTAAGAAATCGCCCAAAAAAGGTATTCATTTGCCGTTTAGTCGATCCCTTTGTTATTGATTTCTATGGTCTCATCGTTTGTCTCATTGCAGTGAAAAAGAAGAAGCGGAAGAAGAGCCAAACGGGCGATGCGAGTGCTTCGTCACCACTGCGAGGAATGCCTGCTGTGTTTGATAGTGATCTCGACAACGATAACAGTGATGACAGTAATGTCAGTAATCAACAGTTGGAGAGAATTGTACTTAAAATACCAAAACCAACGCAACAGTCGTGTGATGTGAATAATTATTACGATTTTTTCTCCGATTATAAGACTAATTCACCCGCGAATATCAGCTACAATAACGGCCTGCCGTCTGCTGCGGCGGCCAATCAACAGTCGTCGACATCGTCGCAGCCATTGTCAGCGCCAATACCGACGTCTGACCAACCGATTGACTTTAGCTTTCTGTTCAGAGACCTGATTCCGACGCCGCCAACCAATCAGAGTCACAATCCGAGCGCCAGCGGCAGTCAGTTCTTCAGTCACACCACTGCACCGCTTGCGCACACTTTCACGGCTCGAGCGCCGGCACCGGGAACTCAGTTAACAGCGGCGCCAAACGTGAGCCTTCAGCCATACAATGCACTAACTGTGAGACCTCCGGTGGCGGTCGTGCGGCCGAATGTGTTCCATCCGTTCGCGCCGTCCGCACCCATGCATTACTCCCAACCCGTAAATTATCCACACTTTATGGGACATCAAAATTACTTCCAAAACACGAGTGCAGTTCAAAATTATTCGCACCGCCAGTATTACCCGAATCCGGGCGCTCCAGACTTAGACCTTCCCGACTCGCAGACCTTTGATATGTTTTTAAAGCAACAGAAGTTTTTATTGTCTCAATTCTCGTCGGCTAAACAGACCAACGAAGTGGACGGCGGCGCCAATGACACCGACGATTCCGATCATCCCATCGGTCATGAGTTTGCGTTCAAAGCGTTTCAAACATTTACCACAATTAAGAAGCTTTTGGAGCCGACAACCATTGGTTTGTTATTCACTCGTAAGGCATTAGATTCTCATTCGCTTGTGTTTTATTCTTCAGGATCTCTATCAGACATTGGTCTCAATATCGAGTTTACGCTCAATTTGGTCGACTTCGACGCCAATAACTTCTACCCTGATTTGCAATCACTGTTGGAAACAAAGTCATATCAAATCCAATTAAGATTCAGTTATATCAGTGACGTTCAGATCAAAGAGCATAAGGATTGCGTTCCAGAATTCTTATGCATTCAATGCAATAATAATCGTGTCTTCGATTCAACTGAGGTTTTGTATTGCAATTAGAATTGAATTTTATTTGTATTTTATAACAATTTCATATGAAATAGGATGAGGAGAGGTCTTCGGGTCCCTTTGATTTGAACAAATGGTGTGTTTTTGGCGTTAATAAAGTCAGGTTTTGGATGTCTAAAGAGAAGTACACATTCCTCATGCCGTGTCTTTACGAGGTTAGAGATTGTGTGTGAAGTGGTTGTCACTGATTAACCATTTAATTGTGTAAAATCTCTTCAATAGGTATCAATTGTTAGCTTTGAAACTCCGGATACATTTCTCAATAAGTTGAAGGAAAATAGCGCACAATTACTCGACCCACAGATCACTAAACAATTGAGTACTGATTGTGTTTTTTTTAAATCATTTGCGAAACAAATTGTTTAAACACTTTATTTTGCAGTTAAATCCCGAAGCGAACCGCCCTCTCAGGACGATATCATCATTAGTGTTACGAATACGACAATCAAAGTGAAACTCATTTGTCCGGTAATTATTGGCTTCTTTTACTAATTTTGAACGAATTTACATAATTAATGATTGTTTTGTGGTTTAGTTGAGCTGTAGGCGCATTGAGACCCCGTGTCGGACACTCGAGTGCAAACACATCGAGGTGTTTGACGCGCATTCATTCCTTAAAGCAAATGACTTTCGGTACGACTGGTTGTGTCCTATCTGTCAGAAAAGGGCTGATTTTGATTTGCTTCGAGTCGATGGGTATGTGAACCATATATTGCACTCAATTGTTATCAATGTTGTAATCAATTATTGTGTTATTTCTTAGGTATTTTACGGAAATGTTAAACAATACGGACGACAGTATAACCGAAGTATTTGTTAAATCCGATGCAACATATGATGTGATCAAAGGTTTGTATATTTTAGGCCTTAGTTTTAATTTAATAAATTTATTTTATTTATTAATAATTTAATAAAATTGTCTTTTGTTTTAGTGCCGAACTCTCCACCAGTTGTCGATTTGGACGACACAATAGAAGATGATTTTGATTGCAGTGTCGTTGACGCCGACGGCTGTATAGTAATCGATTAAATCATTGATTTGTTTGTCAATTAATTAGTAAATTCACTGTTTTTAATTTTTCAAATTAATAATCTATTTTATATTCCAATTGTCCCCATCTTTACAATCAAAAAATATTTTTTTATGTTTAGATTTCTTAAGATTTTTCAAATTAATTAATAAATGAAATAATTTAGTGTTTGTTTTAAATTCAAACATATTTTACTTAAAATAAAGTGAAACAGTGATTATGTGATGAATTTCACTCTCATTTATATATAAAAGCCAATTAAATGCTAATCTTGTAAATAATGTAAAAGACATTAAAATTTCAATGTTTTCTAAAACAATTCTACAGACATTTATTTTGTAAATGTAAATTTAACACAAAAAGCTTTTATTCGTTCACTTTATTAACGATGGCATCAATTATAAGTCATGTGTCGGTAGCTCTGCATCCAAGCCGTCACCACAACTATTGCAGTCCTTCTCAGACCAGTCCTCAGATCACCGCTCACTCCAAGCGGTCTCTAAAGCCATACTTTTAATTGCAGTACAAATCAGTCAATACTTTGATTAATGGCTTTTCAACCGACTCGAGACTCTTCGGGCGGACATACGTTGTGGTCAGCAGCGGATCCTCGAGGACTGCGGCCAACGTTTGACGCTTTCTGTAGTTTTTAACTAAAAGTTGTCGCAAAACACGGTCTCTACCGATGGATAGACTGGCGTTGAGGTCACGTCTGGCGCCCAACAACTCTTTGCCAATTAAACCCACGGCCCAGACATCACACGTGCGGTTGTCGGGCACCGGAACTGCTGCGAGGATTTCGGGCGAACTGTAGAGATGAGTGCCGTAATCAGCGATCGCTGCCAACCCTTTGCCAGCGTTTATGACACGTCTAATGGTTGTAAAGTCAGAGACTTTGGCGACAATACCACCGCTTGTCTCACATCTCATAAGCAACACGTTATCGGGTTTGAGATCCAAGTGAGCGAATCCCTGGCTATGGATGTAATCAACTCCGCGGACAATGTCTTGAAATATCATCAAAACTGTCTGACAGTCGAGTTGTCGGCAAATCGGGCGTCGAGTGTATCGGTAGAGATCACATTCGGCCGAATCCATGACAATCAGCCGATGGACACCTGTCTGGAGGTATTGGATGTGATGACAGGACAACACATTCATGTGTCTGAATGCCATCATTGCCTGCAGTTCTTTGGCAAACGTTGTCTCACTATTGTTGCAGAATTTGATGGCCACTCGTTGGCCATTGTATTGACCACTGATGACCAAACCGTTGCCACCACAGCCCAAATAGTCCCCCAATTGGATCTGATTGGCGATCAGAACCGGCGCCGACTCTAAGATCACATTCTTGTAGACCTCGAAACCGGTTTCGTTAAAGTGTGACAACAAGTGATCAAACTTTAGGCCAACGATTGGTTTGACCGAAAAATTCTTGAGTTTTTCGCTTAATTTCAGCGAAGAGTCCTTCACTGCGTTCACGACTGGAGACGTGTTGTCGACGACCTTCTCTTCGCTGATCGGATGTGACAACACTTCAGACAAGTCTTTGTTAACGGATACCAAAACCCGTGAACAGCACTCTTGTGTCGCCTCAATGGCCGCCAATCCCTGTCTTTCATTGCCCACAAGACAACACATCCGCCGCCGCTTCGGACGACTCACTGCCAGCTCTGGGTCTCGATTCTCGTCATCGCCGGTGAACTCGAAGACGTCTGAACTGAAAGAAGACCTGAGAGAAGGTCTCCACGAGTGGCAGAACCCATACGACAGAACCAGCGGTTCGTCATCTAACTGTTCCAACTCTTCGGTCGTGTCTGTTGTGATGGAGTCCTCAATTGGTGTCGACTCAGACTCATTGTCCTCTTCTTCGGCCGACAAGTCATACAAAGCATTTGTTCGGATCATAATAACAGATCCAAAGCTGATCTCTGGTATGGAATCGTTGGGTCCGTAGCCTAACGACTTGAGCTGTTTGCCGAGCGCTCTGTTGTGTCTTTTGGTGCGAATCCTTTTAGGAATCCTTTGAATGGCTTTGAAAGCGGTGTTAAAGACATTCTCAGCTGATTTCCACAGAGACCGCTGCTGTTCGTCGGGACTCAAGTGCGGGCCAACACTTGTCGCCACTGAATCCCTCCTTTCAACAGCCGATGTTATGGCCAGAACTGTGATTCCGGTGTTATCCAAGACATCTGTCTCTCTATTCCTGCTCTTACGTTGTCTGTTATGAGTGGAACCGTTGGTGGCGTTCGGATCCTTGTCTTGGGCTCTGCCTCTGACTCTTCGCCAGAACTTTACAACACAACAGTCGTGTCGTCCACTTCTGTCGGCCGATTGTATGGCTCCAGATGTTGTTTGGGTTTGACTGCAAACAGTAGTAGTAGTTGTGGTCATTATTGATGGGTTTGTGAAGTTTGGTGTGATTTGTAAGTGGTTTGGATGTGGTTTTGGTGATAGTGTGCGGAAGATTGTGACAAAAGCGTTATACGTTTTTGTTGGCAACTCGGCAAAGAAAATTTGGCAAAATTTCTAAACCATTGTTAAAATTTTTAAATTTAGCTTAAAATAATTGTATCCAAAGTATTGTTAATGTTTTATAATAGAGAGTTTAAAAGAGTTATAGTGAGAAAAGTTTGTTATACAGTATAAAGTTTTCTAAATGTAATTAAATGAGTTTACAATTTAATAGTTAATTATTTTTTACTCAAGTTTCTATATTTACATTTGATTATACCATATGTTTTATATTAAATTTAACCAATAATTATACATCACTAGCGCTAGTTAAGTTTTAAAATTTTGATTTAGTTTTGTCATAAAATTAGATTTATATTAAATATATAAATAATAATTACAATATAATTCATTTATTCGTTTATTAAAACATAAATAATACAATATATTAATACATTGTTTTCGAAATCAATACACTTTGGATTTATCGGCGAGTTTGCGGTCATTTGATCTATTTATTGAATGTATTGTTATATTCTTGTGATACCAGAGATGGACCAGAATTGGCATAAAAGTGATGTCAGACATAAGGTTTACATAGGGTTTACATTTTACACACCTTTACTATTTAACTGTAAGTATAAATGTTTGACATTTATTTTAAATTTTTATTCATGTATTACTATAAAATAGGGATTAGCACATTAGCATAGCATACTGTATTTTATGTGCAATGCATGTTATCTAGATTAAGTCATTATTAAGTGTTGCTATTGTGATAACTGGACACTTGGCTATACAGTGGAGATGTCACACAAAGAGATTGTATTATCATTTATAAACGATATAATTAATAATTTAATTAATTATTATAACAATTTGTTATTATTTGCGTTATAGTTAAGTGCAGTCATAATCGATGGCAACACCATTTCAATCGCCAATAAATCAAAGACAATCGACTTTCGTTTAGCCATTAGACAAGTTTGTGATAACGGACTCATTACGAGTCCAATACCAATAAGAAATGGTTCCAACGATAATGTCTTTGTGGCCCTCTTTGACGACACGGACACTGACTTCGGGTTTGATGTCAACAACCGATCGGATACTAAAAATGTAAAATTATTTATAACTTATGGCAAAATGTATTCACTTATTGTGAGGCAAAGCATTCAAAATGTGGTCAAAGTATTGGAAGATTGCGGACGATATCTGCGTTTCCTAACACCCAATCGACCGATCGGTCAATCGTTGGCCGATTTGTATCCTTCGGGAGACGTGAACAACAACTGCGAGATTCGGGTCATATGTTCGCGAATGAAGTTTGCACTACAGGTCGACACAAATCACGACTCAGCAGTTGTGACCACACCTGAAGAGGTAGAAGACGTGAAGTCTTCGCCCGAAAGGCAAGTCTTCATCAAAGAAGAAGACGAGAAGAAAGTGTTGACTAAAGAAGAGAAGAAAGAGTTTATTAAATCCGAAGCGAAAGTGAATATTAAAGACGAGACAAAAGTCGATATCAAAGAAGAGAAGAAAGTGTTGATTAAAGAATGTAAAGAAGAGGACAACGAAAAGGTTTCCAAAGAAGAGAATAAAGTGTTTAACGTTTCGTCTGTCGGCCAAGAAGTGGGCAAAAGAGGTGCCATTGGTTTTGGCGTTAAGAGTAACCAAACCTTTAATAAATATCACGGATTTATTGCCGACGAAGACTATTATATGGAACCGTTTTTCATTGAATTCAGACTTAAAAATAATTGACTAATAATTCATAATATTTAATATATTTCCCCATTTACTGAATGAACGAATTTTATCATTTAAATTATTTGTGATTTATATAATATATCATTTCAACTAAAACTAGTGTTACTTTTATTGTACGATTAATTATATAAAATTAAATTATTAACATTTATGCAAATTCAATGTTGAATATAATTGATTTAGTATAGAGTTTGGTATTGAATGTTGATTGAAATAATGTAAATGCATGTCAATTGCTATGAGCCGAGGGGCGAGTTTTGCGGTTATTTGATCTGTTTATTAAATATAAAGTTATATTCTTGTGATACCAGAGTTGGACCAGAATTGGCATCAAATCGATGCGAAGCATAGGTTTTGCATCCGAACTCTTGTAAATTATGATCAATTGATAAATAGGTCATAGATTTATACCATTTATTCCTAATTATTATATATCTCTTAACTATAATACGCTAATTACAAATGAAAATAGAGATTAACATTTACATTACATTTTACAGTTATAGTATCACAAGTTATAACTAATTCATTTGATATTTCAGTGTTTTCTCGCAACGAATTGAAAAAGTATGAAATATTGTCGTATTTCCGCTAATTGGTAGACAAATCCAACTTTATATACAACTATTAAAGTTTTTAAAGCATCAAATCATTCAATCATTTCCTGTCCTCTCTATCAGTCTTTGAATAAGTTTTTCATTTCAATTGATTTTTTCTATCAATTTATTCATTATTTAGTAAACTATTGGCTATTGATGTCACACAAAGAGATGGTATTAAACATCAATCATTAATTGAAATTATTATAATAAGTTTGTATTGCATTAATAGTTAACTCCAGTCCTAATCGATGGTAACACCATCTCAATCGCCAATAAATCAAAGACAATCGACTTTCGTTTAGCCATTAGAAAAGTATGCGACGACGGCTTCACAACCACTTCAATGCCTATAAGAAATGGTTTCAACGATAAGGTATTTGTGGTCCTCTTTGACGACACGGACACAGACTTTGGTATTGATCTCTACAACCGATCGGATACTAAGAATATGCGATTAGATATCACTTATGGGAAGACATATCGATATATTGTCGATAAAAATCAAACTTCATTCTTAAAAACACTCGAAAGCTATGGAAAATATTTGCGTTTCTTAACACCGAATCGACCGTCGGGTCAATCATTGGCCGATTTGTATCCATCGGGAGAAATAGATCCTAAAAGCGAAGTCCAGATCATATGTTCGCAAATGAAGTTTTCATTACAGGCAGAGAAATATAAAGACACGAGAGTTGAGCCCAAATCGGAACCGATTGTAGAGAAGTCTCTCTCCGAAAGGCAAGTGTTTATCAAAGAAGAGGAAAAAGTGTTCAAAGTTTCGTCAATTGTGAGAGAAGTGGGCAAAAGAGGTGTCATTGGATTCGGCCATAAGAGTGACACTGTATTCCCTCACAAGTATTATGGATTCATTGCCGACGAAGACTATTATGTGGAACCGTTTTTCATTGAATTCAGACTTAAAAATTGGCAAATTGTTCCTAAAAATAATTTCTGTTCATTTTGTCATTTTGTCAAAGAATGTAATCATTGATTACTAATCAAACATTGTTTGCATTTATCATTTGCATTGAAACTCGTGTTACTATAGAAAAACTTTATACTAATTACTATTCAAATTGTATTTGTATTTTGTATGACATTGATATTGTTAACAATATTTACAAAATTAAGAAATAAAACCTTTTTTATTTTAAATTAAATAATAAATACATTTGAGTAGAGATTAAATCACGATTTAATGCATAATTGTTAACCAATTAAGTTATATCTATTAATTGTTTCAAATGTATTCATTAATACGTTATGTCTGTTTAATATCCATACAGTAATACTAATTACTAATTCAATACCATTGAGTAATAATACAATAATTGTTTGTTAAACACAACCAATCGCTTGTTGTTTACACTTTCTATCAGCCCTTACCACAGATATTCTTCTTCAGTTCAATTGATTATTCAATCAAATGTCACACAAAGAGAGGGTATTATTACATGTTGTCATTCATTGATTTCAATTGTTATAACCATTTGAATAACTCATTGATAGTTGAATCCAGAGATCATCGGCGGTAATACCATCTCAATCGCCAATCAGTCGAAGACAATCGACTTTAGTCTACAGATCAAAGAACTCGATTACAACGGTTTAATGACCGGAACAGCGATTCCATTGAGAGCTGGTTTCAACGATCATGTATTTGTGGCCCTCTTTGACGACAGGGACACCAATTTTGGTTTCCATGTCTACAACCGATCGGATACTAAGAATGTGTCAATCAAATTGACTTATGGGAAGACATATTCATTTATTATCATAAAAGGCCAAAACAATGCGATCCAAACCCTTGAAAGTTGCGGACAATACTTGCGTTTCTTAACCCCTAACCGACCGATTGGCCACTCATTGGCCAAATTATATCCGTCGGGAAGGAGTGACTCCCAAAGTGACGCTCAGGTGATGTGTTCGCGAATGAAGATTGGATTACAGATCGACAAGAATCAGAAGTCAGGCGTTGCGTCCAAATCGGTGCCGATTGTGGCGAAACCTCTGCCCAAAACGGGAGTGTTTGTCAAAGAAGAGGAGAATGTGTTCACCGTTTCGTCGCTCAGCAAAGAAGTGGGCAAAAGAGGTGTCATTGGATTTGGCCATAAGAGTGACACACCATTCCCTTATTATTATGGATTCATTGCCGACGAAGACTATAATATGGAACCGTTTTTCATTGAATTCAGACTTAAAAATAATTACCTGTCATTTGCCGACAGTTGTTCTTCATTTCCTTAATCTAATTACTAATTTATTAACATTTTGTGATTGTTTTGATGATATAATTAATTTAAATCTCAATAAAATATAAACATTTAATGACTTCAATCTTTAAGTAATACCACAAATAATTGCATAAAATTTATTGTATAAAATACTGTATGAAATAAATTATAATTTAATGTTTTTGTATGAATGAAAAGAAAGTTTAAACTATTTATGATTTGTTGCTATCATTTCGAGATTGACTTATTGGACGGTTTGCTATCGTTTTGAGAATTAATTGATTTATTGGACGATTGACTGGTCTTTACGTCCGAAGAGCTCTTCTCGATATCCGAGTCTTCGGGCTTTTGTTTCCGCAAAACTGTAACCGATTTGAGGATCACTTCAATGAAGACATACCATAAGCCGAAGACCAAACCCGCGGCGCAGACACACGAACCCAACCACAGAAACGACTGAACCATCGATTGTTTGAAGCCATTGAATGCTATGATAGGCGTGAGTCCGATGACCACCGCATACATTACGGCCAGTTGTGTGTATCGGCTGTGCGTCCAGACGTTGGGATCCTTTTGGTCTATATATTTGGTCTCAATTTCAAATTTTTTGAGATTATATTTATATAAATACAGCAAAAGAAAGGTTAGGATTGAAGTGAGAATTGCAGACAATATGCCAGACATTAAGGACTGGAGAAACGTCTCGTTTGTCTGGAAAATAAAGAGACAAAATGTGGCCAAAAGTGTGACACCAAAGAAGATAAAGGTCTGGACGTCAAACCAATTGAGTTCAGGCGAAGGCATTTCTGGCAAATACATCATATCTTCATCGCCTTTGGGGATGCCTTTCAAAGTGTGGATCTGTTTCTTCACGTATTTGTTGACTGCCATCGTTTGCAACACTTTCGTCGCGTCGTTAATCATCTCAACCACTGTATAGTCAAAGAGGAATATCTCTGAACCGATGGCTCCGGAATGGTTGGCCCGAATGTACATCACGTCTTGTATAGGAGTGAGTCGTCCCATCAGTATTCGCATCGAAGACATGACCGGATCCGGCATTTTGTTAATTGAAAAGCGAGTCGTCGGACAAATTGTTTGCTGTTTTTTGTCCAACAAATCGAAATCAATTGTCGTTTTCTCCAAATCCATGACATCTGAAGGACAGCCGACTTTAATTTCAATCAAATATTGAAATTTGAATGTCTTCGGCGAACACATCACTAACTGGATCTGCACTTCCGGCTGTTTGGCCACCGATTCTCGGGTTTTGGTCCACAGAATCCACGCAAACATAATGAGCCAAAACAGTAAGACTAATACAAAACACAAATAGCTTTGTATTGCACTCGTGTTCCGACATTTGCACAGAATATTCTTGCCATCAAATTCTGGATTGCATTTGAATATCGATAACACTTTTACTTCTTTATGAACACAAAACGTGAGATAAAATTCATTGTCTGAATTGACATTTGATTTAATCGTTATTTTGATTTCATCCCCCTTTTTGAACTCTTTCTTCGTTACCATCTCTTGGTTTGCGTTTATTTCATACTTCTTGTCGTCAATGTCCACAACAAATGTCTGTCCAGAGGGTTGAGCTCTAAGTACTAATCGGATCCCAATATCAGGCAAAGACTGAAACGGTTTGAAGACTGTATTGAGATTCAATTGATGGCCAGATATGTCGGACCACTTGTGAACCAAAAACATGAAGACATGAGAACTGGATTTAATTATATAAATTGGTTTTCCGCACAAAAAGTTAGAAACATTTGCATTCTTGGGATCCGATAGAAAATGAATCACGTTTTTAAGATTGCAATTCTGAGTAGTGTTTGCATTAATGACACAAATAATTGTTAAAACAAATCCGAGAGTAAGACAATTGAAAGCCATATTTTTGTCAACGCATTCAACGTTATAATTATGGTTTGAATTTCAATATAATTGGATTCAAAGTGAATGCAGTTATCGCTTAATAATGCAATCGTTATCACGAGAAATGGATTATTACGTTATTATCAAATCACTTATTTTTCCCATTCAAACAAATTATACTTAACACGTCTTTTAATACAATTGAATGGCAAACAACACAATTGAAAATTGGTTAAAATATAAAACAATTAATGAAACAATTCATGAATTTTTA